GGTGGGGCCGGCTGCACGTGACCCAGACAGCCCCCCACCAGGTAGTCCTGGCTGGCCTCAACAGGCCCTCCGAGTAGTCCCAGCTGGCCTCAACGGCCCCCCCCCAGTGGTCCAGCGCGGTCGCAACACCCGGGCGCCGCCTCTGGCGGCGCCCCTGGGGCGCTCCGCGTCCCAGGGTTCGGGTGTCCAGGGCTACTCGGTGGGCCCGTTGAGGCCAGCTGGGGCTACTCGGGGGGCCCGTTGAGGACATCTGGGGCTGCTCGGGGGGCCTGTTGAGGCCAGCCAGGACTACCTGGTGCGGGGGGTGTCTGTGCGCAGCCCGAGCAATTACCAACCTCCCCCCTTCTTGCTTCACGAGGCTCGTTTCGTTCCGATGCCCTGCGTCTGCTTCCTTGGTCGGCTTGCTCCTACATGCTGCGCGTGTGCTCGAGAACTCTGCTGCCCGGCTGCTGTCATTCTGTCCTCTGGCTCACGCGGTGACACAGTTCACTTGTTGTGATGCGCAGTGCTTTGGGACGAGGCGTTCAGTTGCTCTGCGTGGTAAGATCAATTCTTGGGCTGGGTCAATGGCCAATGAGGGTCGCCTCCCGATTTTGAGGATGCGCCGCAACAAAAGGGGCACGACACGCATAATACTCCATCTCCCCCGCCCTCCCCCACCCCCGCCCCCCTGTGCGGGGGGCGCGGCCAGGTGGGGATGATTCTGCTTTTTTGCTTCCCTAGTGAGGGTGGCCCTCCGCAGAAGAGACCTCTGGTGCGTGTGGCTTTCGGGGGGCAGGAGTGGACCTGACCCAAGCATGCGGTCCGCCAGCCGTCGCATCACACGCAGCGATCGGCAGACCGCGCACGAGAGGCCACCCTGTTCCAGGGTCATTCTTGCTTGTAGCCGATCGATTATCGGGGCCCTAGTGGCCACCACGGCACAGTCGTCGCCGCCGCTGTCGCTGGCTGGACGCCTCTTCTCCGCTTTACGCTGCGGCACGGCCGTTGCCGCCGCCGATCGTCGTCGCCGTCGTCGTCGTCATCGTCCTCCTCCTCTTCCTCCTCCTCCTCCTCATTGTTGTCGTCTTCGTCGTCGTCGTCGAGTCTCGAGGGCCTTCGAGGGCCCTTCCAAGAGCTTTCGGAGGCCTCCAGAGGTCTTATGGATGGTATATTGCTTTTGTGTGTTGGGGCATCGGGCCCGATTGGCGATTACGGCGACAACAGGTGGGAGGTCGATGGCCTTCTCGACCTCGAGCACTCCACCGCTCAAGTCCACCCCGCGTCCAAGCTTGCAATGTCTTGAAGGCCTTGCGTGTCCCCCTGACCACATGGGTTGTAGAGAATCGGGGAATGCTTGTGGTAATCTTCGCCCGGCGAATACGAGACACGATATCCCGCCCAGTTGACGGCCGCGTCCTCGAAGCTGAACCCGCTGAAGCGGTGCAGGCTGGCAGGGGTGTGTTCCCCCTTCGGCAATGCTTCTCCTAAGCATTCGCAGTGGGCGGAGAAGGAGGAGGATAGTGATGATGATGCTGCTGCTGATGATGATGATGATGATGATGATGATGACGATGATGCTGATGATGATGAGGAGGAGGGGGAGGAGGAGGGAAATAGAGTATGACGGATGCTGCTGCTGATGACGTTGATGGCGATGATGATGCTGATGATGTTGATGAGGTCGATATCGGTTTTGATCACGACGATGACGATGACGATGGTGATGACGATGATGATGATTAACATGATGATGATGATGATGATGACGATGATGATGATGATGATGATGGTGATGATGATGATGATGATGATGGTGGCAATGATGATGCTGATGCTGATGATGCTGCTGATGAAACTGGTGATTATGATATGAATGATGATGACGATGCTGCTGCTGCTGTGGATGATGATGATGATGATGATGATGATGATGATGATGATGATGATGATGATGATGATGGTGGGAATGAGGATTCTGTTGTGGTGGTTGTTTGTGTTGTTGTTGATGGTGTTGCTGTTGTTGTTGTTGCTGTTGTTACTGTTAGTGTTGGTGATTTTATTGTTGTGGTTGTGGTTGTGGTTGTGGTTGTTGTTGTTGGTATTGTTGTTGTTGTGTTTGTTGTTGTTGCTGTCGTTAGTGTTGTCGTTTTATTGTTATTGTGGTTGTTGCTTCTGCTTTTGTTGATGATGATGCTGCTGCTGGTGATGATGGTGGTGGTGATGATGCTGATGCTGCTGATGATGATGATGATGATGATGATGATGATGATGATGATGATGATGATGATGAAATGGAGGAGGAGGCGGAGGGCGACGGCTGATGATGAGGAGGAGGAGGAGGTGGAAGAGAAAGAGGAGAAGGAGGTCAACGCGAAGGGGAGATGGGCAGTAATGGTGAGAAGGAGCGGGAGGTGGAGGGGAAGGATACAGGTAGGATGCGAAGCAGTTGGAAGGATGATGCCAGACAGGGTAATTGTAGGTGGGCGAAGGAGAAGGATATGAAGGATGATGACGGGGGCTCATGGGAGCTCATGGGAAGGGGGCGCGAGGGGGCTCATGGGAGGTGGAAGCAGAGAAACCAGCGGACCTTTGACGCGAGACTCGGCACGTTTTCAGAGCCAGAAATACACCTTGGCGTTGCGCCCTTAGCGTTTCGGGAATGTGATGATGCGGGTGCTGATGACGATGATGATGATGACGATGATGATGAAATTGAGAGTGATGATGATGTGGACGATGATGATGATGCCGATGATGATGATGATGCTGATGCTGATGAGGATAACGATGACCATGACGAGGACGAGGACGAGGACGATGCTGATGATGAGCGATGATGATGGTGATGATGATGGTGGTGGTTTTTATTGTGAGGGTTATAATGACGATCATGATGGTGATGATGATGTTGACGATGCTGGTTCTGATGATCGTGGTGGTGATGATGGTGGTGATGGTGGTGGTGGTGACGATGATGACGACGATGACGATGAGGGGGAGGATGGGGATGATAATGATGATGATGATGATGATGATGATGAGGAGGATTATGCTGACGATGATAATGATGATGCTGATTATGCTGCTGATGATGATGACCATGATGATGAGGAGGAGGAGGATGAGGAGGATTAGGATGATGAGGATGAGGATGGGGATGATGATGAGGATGCGATGATGATGCTGATGGTGATGCTGATGATAATGATGATGATGGTGATGATGATGTTGACGCTGATTATGATGATGATGCTGAATATGATGATGGTGATGGTAATGACTATGTTAACTGATGATGCTGATGGTGACGATGATAGTGATGATGATGATGATGATGATTACACTGATACTGATGATGGTGATGCTGATGGTGATGATGACGTTGATGACTATGATGAGGAGGACGCTGATGATGATGATACGGTTGCTGATGATGATAATGCTGCTGATGATGATGATGATTATGTTGCGCATGATGATGCTGATGATGATGATGATGATGATGATGATGATGATGATGATGATGAGGCTGATGATGATGATGATGATGATGATGATGATGATGATGATGATGATGATGATGATGATGATGATGATGATGATGATGACAATGGTGATGATGATGATGATACCTTCGTTTTTATTGGGTGTCTTTGAGGTGCTGGGCAGTTCATGCAGATCAAGGGTGGTTATCCGAGATGTTTGGTGGGTGGGGAGTCCCCTCCCCTCGCTCCGCCCGGTCCATCACCCTGCTCCCTATCCGCTCGCACCACTCCAGCCCAGCTCCACCAAAAAGATAATTGTAAGTACGTCAGGCCTGCCTTCCGTACGTGGAGGCATGGGTGACCTCCTTCCGAGGGGGCAGCGGCGAGCCCAGACATCCGACGATGTGCTTTTTCAATCCGCGGCTCCTGAGCTCCGGGCCTCTTCCCCGTGGCGGCCGATCTTGTTCGGCGCTCTGGGCCTCTGGAGGCTGGCTCCAGGCTCTGGGGGCCCTCAAGGGACAGCCTCGAGACGACAACCGTCCCTGGGACGGGGGCGAGGGGTTTGGGAGGGCCATGCCACGAAAGGGTCACGGCCTCGGATGTGCTTAGAGGGGGGAGGAGGGAAGAGGGGGGAGGATGGGGTGGGGGAAGGGGGGGAGGGATTTCGACTTCGGTGGCGGAGGAGGGCGCAGGAGCGAGGAGCGAGGAGGCGGAGGAGGCGGAGGAGGAGGAGGAGGCTATTTTCTACTCCAGTCTCTACCACCCACGCCCTAGTTTATCCTGTCTGAATATGGTCTCTACTATCACTGCGCGCTACTCTCTACGTCAGTCTCTGTTTCCCTTCTCTACACTTTACTACCCTCCTTCTGCCGATGCTATAATGTGTTGCTTGAGTTCAACTATGCACGGTACTCTGTACATCCCACCCTCGGAGATCTACTCTCTCCTGCCTGCTCTCTAGTATCAACCCTCCACCCTCTACTTTCACCTCTCCAGTTTCGACCTGTGGCGTGCGTTCAGTCCACCGTTGGCCTCTCTCTTGCGCGATCGGCCCCGCCACTCTCCCTCGCTCCCGGCTCCTGATATTCGCCGATGTGATTTTTTAATCCGCGGCCCCATGGTTCCCGACCGCTTCCTTGGGATTCCGTTTTCGCTCCAGATCAGTTTGTCATGCCCCCGGGGCCCGATAACGGGCCCCAGGGGCCGACATCGAGGACGAGCGCCCAGATTGAGCACGTCATGTCGCTGGAGATCTGGTACCCCGTTCGTCGCCCCCAAGGGGTCTCTCGGCCTCGCCCTGGGGTCCAGGTCAGTCGGATGCCGTCCGTCCTCGGCGCGGGCCGCCAGGTGCCGCCCCAGGGGGTCTCCTAGCCACGCCCCAGGGCCCGCCGCCGCCTCGAGCCGCCTGGGCCCAGGCCAGACGGATGCCCGCCCGGCCCCGGCAGCGGCACCGTTCACATACCAGTCCATAGATTCTTGCGGGGGGCCGCGAGCTGCGCGCCGGCCGCCGGCGCCTGGTGGCAGCCCTGCGCGATGCCCCGCGCCCTGCGCTTCTGCACGGCCCTGGCCGCGGCGCTCCTGTCCGCCGCGGCGCTGCCGCGGCAGCTGCCAGCGGTCGCCGTCGTCGTCGTCGTCATCGTCGTCGTCGTCGTCGCCGTCTTTGTCGTTGTCGTCGTCTTTGTCGTCGTCTCGGTATCTGACGCCGCCACGGCCGCCGCCGTCGTCTTCGTCTTCGTCGTCGTCGCCGTCGTCGTCGTCGTCGTCGTCGTCGTCGTCCCCAGATTTCTGGCGATATGATTTTTCAATCTGGGCTGTTTTCCTCAGTTTCGGCTTCTATGGGCCATTAGTTGGCCCGAGACCATCAAACATAGATGTAGGACAGACAATTACCTCCACGGAAGGTGTTGGGACCTCTAAGGCCGCGCATTGAACAGCCATATCGTCGGATGTTTGGGTCGTCGTTGTCGTCTTCGTCGGTGTTCTTGTCGTTGTGGTCGTCTCCGTCGCCGTCGTCGTGTGAGGAGGAGGAGGTGGTGGAGGATGGGGTGGAGGATCAATATGAGCAACAATCGGAAACATAATTTGAGGAGGGGGAGGAGCAGGAGGAGGAGGAGACAAGGCGGCGCGGCGCTATGGATTTAAAACGAGGACCCAATTCCACAGGAGGGATGGGAAACATAACATCTGGCCATCAGAGGTGGTGGGGGGAGAGAGGGAGGGACGGACGGCGAAGAGGATAGGAGGGGGACGGGGAAGGACGGGGGAATAGGGAGAGGAAGGAGCGGGATGGGGAGGCAGGGAGGAGGGGGGGGGGGGGGCGGACGCAGATGCGCGGCGGATTGAGTTCGCTGGAGGCCTGGGGAGGGAGGGCCTGGAAAGGGAGGGCCTCGGGATGGAGGGGGCCGAGGAAACGCAAGCATGGATTGAGGTGCGCGGGTTTGCGACGGGTTCCGCCTCCGTGCAGAATCGGCGCGCTCCGTCGCCGGATCAGGCGGCACTGGCCGCATGCTTCGTGGGGGACCTTCCGCCATCCGTGGACCTGGCGCCCATCCGTGGATCCGCACTCCATGGTCGATTGCGCCCGAGAGGGGGGGAGCCCTTCGCGGGGGGTGCCCGCCCTGCAGCGGCTCCGAGGCCCGCGGGGCCCGCGGGCGGGCCCGGCACACCTCGGGGCACCGGGGTGGGCCACTCCTGGAAGGAGAGCCCAGCTTTAGGCCGATCTCGATGGCAGTTTGTCGTTGGTGTCTTTCTCCTCCGCCTCACTGGCTCAATCCGATCTCGGAGGATGGGCAATGAGGATGATGACGATGGTGATCGTGATGGTAATGGTGGTGATTGTGATGATGACGATGGTGGTAGCGATGATGATGGTGATGATGATGATGACGCTGGTGGTGGTGGTCATGATGATGACGACGACGATGGTGATGGTGATTGTGATTGTGATGTTTATGGTGGTCAATGGCAGTTTGCTTCCGATGGCGGTGATGGCAGTGATGGTGAGGTTGTTGCTGATGTTGGTGGCGATGACGATGCTTCCCAGGGTGAGGATGCTAATGATGCCAATGATCTGATGATGATGATGGCGAGGAGGAGGAGGGCCCAGGCATCCGACGTCTCCTTCCTTATTGACGCGGGCTCCCAGACATGTCGCTCCATCTTTTTTGCAGGAAGAACCTCTCGACCCCACCTCAGAGGCCGCATCTCGTCTCGGTCGTGGCTTGACGGTCCCAAGGGTCCGAAACCAGTTTGCAGAGGCAGCATTGTGGCAGCATCGAGTTCAGTTGTTTCACGAAGCCTGGAGGTCCCTGGGGAGGGTGGAGGATGAGGAGGAGGAGGAGGAGGAGGAGGAGGAGGAGGAATTTTCTGGTAAGCATGAGCATACATATTGCGACCGCCTGATCAGAGCAGGCCAGTATTGCATGTACCCAGAGCATCTCGTCCTTCCGGGATTTCCACATGCCAGAGGCCGAGGCACTTGCTGCTGGATGGCTAATTACCTGGACTCAGCGCTGCCCCCATGGAGGGGCATTTTAGCAGGATCGACGCTGAAGACCTACGAGTCTGAAGTTGCGTTGACGCCGAGTGTCGACGCCATCTCGGCCAACATGAGCGAGTTGGAGAGCCTCTCTCTACACGTGGACGACCTTACCCTACAGCAATGGGGTGACACCATTGACAGGGTAGTCGCCTCGCTCCAGGCCCACGCCCCCATGGATCACAAATCATCGGAGGAGGAGGCGGAGGAGGAGGAGGAGGAGAAGGCGGGGGAAGGAGGAAGAGGCGGAGGAGGAGCACCCCTCGCGCGCCCCGACCCTCCCACTCAGGTCGGGCGGCGACCAGGGGACCAGGGCGCCCTCGCCGTCGGGCAGGCCAGTCACGAGGGGGTGATCAGCGACGGGCTCAGAGGGTGGACTGCGTTGCACGTTCGGGGACCTTTTTCACAGACCTCGGATGATATGATTTGTTAAATCCCATCGTTTTTCAACTAAATTTTAGCCTCCGGGACCTGGTATCGGGCCCCAGGACAATCATCAATGGATCCGTAACGGGAAATTCCCTGTTGGAGTCGGAACCTCAGGGGCCGCGCATTGAATGCATCATGTTGTCAGGTGTCTGGGTCTGTCTAGTGAATTCGATATGAATTCGACGAGAATCCAGCGCGGATAGCGAAGCAATGCGACAAGAACGACCCCCCTGGATATTCGACCCACTATCACGGTGCAGGCGTGGGAGGGAGGGGAAGTGGGAACGCTGCTGGCCTTTCTCGTCCTTTACCTGCTGCTACTTTCCCATGCTCTTCCCACCTGCCACGGGTCGCCTTCAGCAGCGTTGTCCGCTCGTCCCTCCCCCTCCGAGGCTCAGCAAGGCCTGCGCTTCTGCTGCTGCTCCTTCCCCCACGAACCCCACCCGCGGGGCCCCTGGATTTTGACCAGTGGAGGCTTCCTTCCTTGTGTGGGCTCTCATCGCTCGTGCACTCCCGCAGACGTCCTGGGGCTTCCTAGGGTTTGAACGGGTAGGGGTAGGGTTCGCTACTGGCTACCCAAACATGCCACCGCTGCAGGCCACCGGTGGATGGCTGAGACGGGGTACGGTACGAGTAGGCCCGTCTCTGGAGTCCTTAATTCAGCGTCCTGTTCAACGCCGCCGCCGCCATTCGATTACGCATGCTTTCTTGGCCGTGGCAAAGCCCAAACGTTCCACCGCCGAAAGTCACAGGGTGATTGGCGTAGACGGGGCACGGGGAGGCTGGAAGCACATGTGCGCGCCGCGCCTAGCTGTGTTGAATGCTTTGGGGCTCTGGCAGTATTTTTTCCGCCGGGCCGCGCCAAACTTTGAAAAGGGTAGTGCCCTCTGAGAAACCGTCCGCTTGTGTATCGTTCCCAGGTTTCCGCGCTTTGCGGTTGTCGTTGCGGCTTGCTTCGCCCGTAGCAGGCGTCGCCGTACCGATTGGGGGCATCTTGGGGCTGCCATGAGCCATGTTTTTTTGTGGCCGTGGCATGGGGTCCCTGTCTGTGATTCCGAACAATCATGTGGTGTTGGGTCCTCGTTATGGGAGGACAGCGCCCTGCGTCTCCTCTCCTTCGTCCTCCCCCTCCTCCCTCCTCCCAGCCCTGACTCTGCATTCCGCACGAGCCAACCATTCCGGCACAGCCTTCACACGTCTCGTGGCCCCATGGGGAGCTCCACCGTGGGGCCCAGTGGCTGCGCTCGCAAGCGCCCACAGCGCCCATGTCGGCGCACACCTCACACATTTTCGTGGCCCCATAGGAAGCTCCACGAGGGCCCCAGTGGCTGCGCTCGCATGCGCCCGCCGCACCCATATCGGCACACTCCTCACACGTTTCGTGGCCCCATAGGGCTCCACCGAAGGCCCAGTGGCTGCGCTCGAATGCGACAATTGCACCCATGTCGGTATGCCCCTTATACGTTTCGTGGCTTCATGGGGAGCTCCACGAGGGCTCCAGTGGCTGCGCTCGCATGCGCCTGCCGCACCCGTTTCGGCACTTCCCGCACATGTTTCGTGGCTCCCTAGTGAGCTCCACCGAGGGCCCCAGTGTCTGCGCTTGTATGCGCCCATCGCACAAACTTCAACACACCACTCACATGCTTCGTGGCCCCATAGGGAGCTTCAGTGAGGGCCCCAGTGGTAGTGTTCGCATGCTTTCACCGCACCTTTTTCGGCATATCTCTCGCACGTTTTGTGGCTTCGTAGGGAACGTCACCGAAGGGTCCCCAGTGGCGGTGTTTGCATGCGTTCGCCTCATTCATTTCGGCTCACTACTTACACGCGTCGTGGCCCCACAAGGAGCGCCACCGAAGGCTCCAGTGGCGGTGTTCGCATGCGTCCGCCCCGCCCGTTTCTGTGCACCCCTCACACGTCTCGTGGGCTCATAAGGAGTTCCACCGAAAGCCCCAGTAGCCGTGTTCGCATGCGTCCGCCGCGCCCATGTCGGCACACCCCTCACACGTTTGGTGGCGCCACAGGGAGCTCCACCGAAGACGATAATCGCAACTGCGTTATTCACAAATATATATTGTTGGGTCCTTCGCTCGGCTATTTTTGTGCAGGCCCATGCGAGCGCGACTCCTTCTTCTTCTTCTTCTTCTTCTTCTTCTCTAACCATTCTGTCCGCAGTGATTCCAGCACTTAGTGTCTCCAGCCTCCCCGTACGCCTAGGTCCCACCGTGGATTTCTTGGCCAATAACTCTTTAATTCTACCGTATCCGTTCGGGTAAATAGCTATGTGTGTGCCGCCTCGGCCGTGGAGCAGCCAAGCGGCGAAAGTCGAACCCTACCCCCGCCGCCGATTTGGACCAGTAGAGGCTTTCTGGTGGGGGTTCATCTCGCTCGTTCCCGTCCGCGCTTCCTGACCGCCCCACGCCTGTCCTGGGGCCTCCCGGGATTTGGACTGGCAATGGAAGGGTTCTTTGGTGGCTGCCTAAACGTTCCACCGCCGCAGGTCACGGGAGATCTCCTTGTACTGTGCCCGCCTCGGCCCCTCGTTGAGGCCACGCTGGCGGCAAGGCGACCCTCCTCCCCAGAACTCCGACGTCGTGACTCTTTTCATAGCGCGGACCCCCGGAGTTCCAGACCCCTTTCCTGGCACCGGTTTTTCATCCCGAGTAGTTTTTGGACGGTCCCAGGGTCCTGTAAGGGCCCCAGGGCCCGAACATGGGCAACAGTTGCCCGTCGTTTTTTTCTCGCAACGAGAGGAGGCGCGGGTCATGCTCATTTCGTCGTGCTTCAGCCGGCACTCCGAGCTTACTGCGCGGAGACGCTGAGGTGACAACGACCTCTCCTACGACGACTTGCCCCTGGAGGCCTCGGCGGGGTTTGCTCGCAACTGCGACTCTCCGTTGTACGCGCGAGCGACTGACGAGGTTCGTTCGGAACTTCTGAAAGGTGCGGACAATGAGGGCAATTCCGATGCGCTGGCAGGTTCCCACGAGTCCGACCGCCACGATCCATTCGCTCGCCCGACCCCTTGGATGTACAAACTGAACCAGTCGACGTGGACAGAAATACCTCCGATCCCATACCAGGATAGACCAGTGAAACTGGCATTGCTGATGTTTGTGAAAGATTCGGTGAACAACGAGCAGGTGTGGCACGCGTGGCTGAAACGTGCGCGGCAGGACAATCTCAGCTTTGGCATGTACATCCATGCGCATGGCATCGAGGGTCCAAGCGAGTTCCAGTCTCCCAAGCTGGCCGAGTACGTAGTAGATGGGAAGGCTCCGAGCAAGTGGTGTGACATATGGAAGCCGCAGATGAAACTGCTGATGAGGGCACTGCAGGACCCCGACGTCTCGCACATGCAGATCCTCTCCGAGGATTCGATCCCTGTGAAGCCCATGCGGGATCCAGTTGCGCTACCGCGCGAGTCCGCCGCAAGTCCGCCACCGCGCTAGGGCGGCCTCCTGGGCTGGTACGTTCCACGGAAGATCTTTCCAGGATGCGCTGAAGGGTTCTCGCTTGCCTGTGAAATACTCGGGTGGCGTTCAAGGGTGTCCTGCTGGTTCGGCGCTTCGTGTGCGCCCCGCACGCTTGGTTGCGTTTCCTGGTTTTCGCCCGGTGAGCGTCCGTGTCCAAGAGATGGACATCGAAATCATTTCACACGAGGGCAACTTCAATGACCTCGGCCAATTTATCAGCTTGCACGAGCCGATGGGCACGGAAATTCACCACCGCACGAGAGCAACACGGGCGTTACAGTCAACCCGTATAGTAAGGATGCGCGATAAGGATGCAAGGGCCTTGGACGCCCAATTCGAAGCCTTTCGAGCGGGCCGCGGCCAACGAAAGCGGCCAAGGATAGGCCGAGGAGGCAAGGATGCAAGGGTACCCTTGGGAGGGTTGCCCATCCTCATTATGCGGGTTGACTGTATTCACTTCCCGCAAACCAGAGCTGACCAGCACGTACTACCCTCTGGCTCACCGACTCTGGCTATTCAACAGCATTGTAACACTGACAATGCTAACCGGCCGCTCTGCGGTTGATCGGGAGTTTCTGCATGCAGAAGAAGGTGCGTGTGCTTGTGGACGAGAGGAGAATGAGCGGGAGGGGGTGACATGCAGCCCCTCCCGCTCCCATGCTGGCAACCTCCACCTTCTCCACATCCTCCCAGGAAGTCCCGTGAGGTCCGTGAACGTCGTTCCTCCTTCGCCTCCTCGTGTACCTCCTCCTTCTCCTCCTCCTCCTCCTCGTCCTCCCCCTCCTCCTTCTCCTCCTCCTCCTCCTCCTCCTCCTCCTCCTCCTCCCCTCCTCCTCCCCCTCTTCCTTTTTTACTACCTTATTCAACCTTCTCCTCCTCCCTCCTCCTCCTCCTCCTCCTCCTCCTCCTCCATTCCTTTTCTTTATACATAATTTCTTCTTGTCGCACCCCGAGGCCAGTTTTAGGTCGGGTCGGGCGTTTCGCCTGAGACTTCCTCACCACTCATGATTATGAATCTTAAAAGTTGGCAGCGGTTTCACAGATGGAGGGCGGGTGGTTTTCAAAATGTGGCTCTCGCCTTAGCGCCGCGCACAGTCGTTTTAAACATATTCAATAGCTGCACGGATTGAGGATAACCCGTTGTCAGAATGTGGCTTTCGCCTTAGCGCCGCGCACATTTGTCCTACACATGTGCAAGAGTTTCACGGATTGACGATAACCCGTTTTCGGAATGTGGTTCGCGCTTGCTTTAGTTCCGCGCACATGTCTTCTAAACCTGTGCAAGAGCTTCACGGGTTTAGGATAACACGTTTCCAACATGTGGCTCACGCCTTAGCTCCGTGCACATTGTTTTTCATTGAAAATTCAAGAGTTTCACGTATTGAGGGCGGTTCCTTTTCAACATGTTGTTCTCGCTTTAGCGCCCCGCATATGCGTTCATAGAAACTGCAAGAATTTTTAAGTGTGTTTCGGAAGGATTCAGGAGTTTGCGGCTGCAGCAGTTACGTTGATTCGCGGTGTTGAAATCCCAAACACGGCGTTCTGGCACGATCCAGGATCGTCAAGACGCAACAGTCAGGTTGATCCGTGGCGTTGGAATCCCGAGAACAATGGTTTGGCATGCTTCGGGTCTTCAAACGGTTGTCTTCCAACGAGGCAGATCCCTAAATGGAGATGAACCGTTGTAGGGGCCTATGAAGAGGGAGCTTCGAGGGAGGGTGTATTCCAACATCGTTGATGGCTCTTGGGTTTACACTGGTCCTCCTCCTCATGCCCCTCCTCCTCCTCCTCCTCCCCCGCCTCCCCCTTTTCCTCCGTCCTCCCCCCCTTCTCGTCCTTCTCCTACTTATCCTCCTCCTTCTTCTCCTCTTCCTGCTCCTCTTGCACTTCCTCCTGCTGCTCTTCCTCCTCCTCTCCTCCTCCTACTCCTTCTCCTCCTACCCTACTCCCTCCTCCCCTCCTCCATCCTCCGGAGTTTTCCTCCCTGCTCATCCTCGTCATCGTCCTCGGGGGCCTCTCTCGGGTGGCGATTTTGCGATTTTGCGATGGTATCTCGAGCGGGAGCCCCAGATTGGGACACGCCCAGTAGGATGTCTCATCTCAAGCGAGAGCCCCAGACTGGGATACGCCTGGTGCGACCCGGCGCGCCCCGGCGCGCGCTGACAGATCCCTTGAAACGGTTCCTGCGGTGAGGCCTGACTTTGTTGCGCGCCAGGGGCCGACTTCGGGAAGATGTTTCGAGCGAAAGCCCCGGACTGCAACACGCCCGGCGCGCCTCGGCGCGCGCGAGAAGATGCGGCGCCTGACTTTCTCGCGCGCCCGGGGTCGAGTTTGGGAGGATGTCTCAAGCGAGAGCCCCAGACAAGGACATGCCCGGTGCGCCCAGGAGTGCTTGGGCGCGCGTCCAAGGGTCTGCTTGGGGAGGCTCTGGAAGCCGGTTTTCTGAGGATGTCCCACGCGAGGGCGCCAGTTTGGAATTCGTGGTCAGATTTCCCGGATTCCCTTGAAACGGAACAAGGGGGCTTCTGAGGGCTTCCTTAAATTGGGGAGGCTTGGAGGGGTCGTTTTCTGAAGATGTCGTGATCGAGGGCGCCGGTTTGGAATTCGTCGCCAGATTTTTTGGATTTGCCGGAAACGGAGCAAGCAGGCCTCTGAGGGCTTCCTTGGGGAGGCTCGGGGGGCCGGTTTTCTGAGGATGTCCTACGCGAGGGCGCCGGTTTGGAATTCGTCGCTGGATTTCCCAGATTTCCCGGTTATCGCGGAAACGGAACAGGGGGGCGGGTGGTGGGCCATTCCCTCGCACGTTGGGGCCAGGATGACGTGAGTTCTTAAAACAATTTTTTGGTCGGCGGGGCGAGAGCGGACCTCTTCCGCTAAAAGCTAGGCGGGCTACGCACAGCTCTAATTAGGGAGACAGGGCACAGGCGGGCGGGGCCTCAGGCGGCTGGAGAGGGCGGGGCCCAGGGTGCAGGCGGTGCCGAGGAACTTGCACAGGAAAAGGTATGCCGCGGACAGGAGCCGGAGGCGGGGATCCGGAGGGTGAGCGATGTGGTGTTGCCGTCAACGGCACGTCGTGAACACCAGCCTCAAGCACTGCAGAGGGGGACGCGCCACTTGACCAGGTCGACGTCCAGGGGGAGAAGACCACCATGAAGGTGATGAGCAACGTTATGCCACCGGATGGTGTGGAGGAGGCCCAGGAGGAAAAGGAGCACCACGAAAACGATGTGCAGCGTTGTGCCACCAGGTGGTGCGGAAGCGGCCTGGGGCGGTGGTCCAATCCACGACCAGGAAGCAGCCAGCGAGAGGTGCGGCCAGAGACGAGGGCCGCCCGTGTCCGACAGGATGCCGGTGGAGTGCTGGGAGGATATCTGCCTGCACAATCAGCGCGTGAAGACGGGCAGGTGCCACACACGGTGCGCTGACGTCCGCGTGGCCGGGAGCCGGGCCTGAGCCGCACAGCGCCATGGCGAGCGGGGCCGCCGAGGCGGCACGGCGCAGTGCCCAGCACCGGGCCGAAGCCGCGCAGTGCCGGGCGCTGCCGCCATGGGAGGGGGGGGAAGCGAGCGGGGGGTGGGGGGGGGGGGGACGAAGCGAACAGGGAGGAGAGAGGCGCGGCATCCCGCGCCAGCCGTAGTCGCGTCAGCCCGCACCGTGGGTGTTCAAGTGGGGGACAGGGCCCCTATGGGTACAGGTAGGACACAAGGTCCCATAACAGGTGAAGACAGGGCGCGCCACGCCAGTCGTCGTTGCGTCAGTCCGCATCGCAGGTGCTCACAGGGGGAACGGCCCCCGATGGGTACAGGTGGGACACGAGGTCCCAGATCATGTAAAGACAGGAGAGGGGGAGGGGGAGGAAACGGAAAAGACGGGGACCAGGTGGAGTGGCAAGCAGTCGTAGTCCGTGGTGCGTGCGTGCCACGAGGGCAAAGGGGTACAGGTGGGGGGGAAAGGGAGGACACAAGCTCCCAAGTCAGTTGGAAAAGGCGAGGCGAGGGCCAGGGGCACAGGTGGTGGGAGTACGGGGGCGGTTGTGTCGTGCTGCCGTAGGGCGAGGGGGTCGGGTCGCCGGCTGGTCAGCGCCGCGGGCGTTTTCCAGTCCAGGTGTCGTGGTACCCGGAGCTGCGCGCCTGGTCCTCTTCGCGCCCGTCACCCTTGGCGACCTCCCTTTTCCTCTGTACGTCCTGGTGCAGCCTCTGCTCCCGATCCCAGTCCACGTAGACGCCTGCGCTGCGGGACCACGCCTCCGCGTGATGGCTGCTGGTGTTCATGTCATTCAGGAATTTGTCAATGATCGAGTGAGTTCTTAAAACAAACTCCCTCGAATTATTAGCGACGCGGACGGTCACCCCTCCGGCAACATTTACGACGGACACAACGACGCATATTTCGCCTGATCATCAGAAAGCCGCGGCGACGCACTACACAACAAGCAGACCCTCACAGCAGCCAGAGACCCACCGTTCTCGACAGCACAAGCAACGATACACCAGACAGCGACCACAGCACCACCAGCACTAACGATGACGATGCAGACAGCAACGCACTTCGGCTCGAAACGCCGATCACGCCCGACATCCACAGCGAGATCGGCGAAGACAGCACACTTGCAGAACCGGTGGGACCTTGGGCCGAAGCCATTCACAGAACGACGCGACGAGCAGAGCACCTTTTGAAGCTTCAAGCTTCACGGCATGGACACTTGGGTGACGGCGCGCAAGCGAAACATATAGCGCATGGTTTCAAGAGGCGCAAACCATGACCGAAGAAGGTGGGCATGGCGAGTGCTACGCTGGCAACCAGACCTTAACCGGCGCCAGCAGGGACACAGGCAGCACGGTGGTCAACGTAAACGTTGGGACGACGAAAGCAACGCCTACTTACGCCAACGCAGGCCAGACCTCCATCGACCACCCGCACATGTCCAATCGAGAGGGCAACCAAACGACATCACCTGGACGCAAACAGCCCAATATACCTAACTGTAGGCGGCGTTCGAGGAATTCTACACCGACCTCACACCAGCAAACACCCAGGACCAAGACCCATAAAGTGAACTCCCAGACAAAGTCGAGACGACACGCCCAGTCCGTGCCGACACCGACACCAAGGACTTCCTCTTCTTCCTCCGCCTCCCCTCCTAACTTTTTCATGTGTTTCGCAGTGCATGTCTCCAGAGAAGCCAGGCTCTCGAGGCCACGGCCTCGCCCACCTGGTCTGAGCTAGGCCCGGGCGCTGTCCGCAACGGTGGTCGCACCGCATCGCGTCGCGCCGGTGAGCGTCCGTAGGCGCCTCGTGGGCTCCTCGTGCCAGGGCTGGTCTTTCTCGGGCTTTCGCCCTGTGGGCGCCCGTGGGCGCCTCGTGGCGGCCCGTGCGCCGGCTGGCGATTCCGGTGTTTCGCCTGGTGGGCGCCCGTGGGCGGCTCGTGGGCGCCTCGGGCCCTGGCTCGCGTTTCTGGATGCACACGACGCCTCACACAGCTTCCTGTTCTCATGTATTCCGCGACGTCGCTTGCACTACATCGCTTGCGTCACGTAGATGGACCTTTCAAGAGTGGAATCGGCTATACCACCCTCCCGGGCCCTGACTTAGCCGTTCCCCTTGTTGTGCGGCCAGTCGTCGTCAATTTACCATGCGATATCGTACAATCCCAGCCCAGCCCGTATCGACACCCCTCTCACCGTCGTCACATGATATTGTGAGCGCAACGTCGCATGTATCTGAACATTCCCCAAGCAGTGCTCGCACTAGGGGGTTCGTATTTCTCTTCTGAGGAACTAGGCCTGCCCATCGGTATGGCGGCTATGTTGTCGCCGTCACCGTCCCGTCGCCGCCTGTCTTCTGGGCCTGCCCATCGGCGGCGATGTGGACGCCGTCGCCGCCCCGTCGCTCTGGGCCTGCCCGTCGTTCTGGCGGCTTTGTGGTCGCCATCGCCGCACTGTCGCCGTCTGGGCTGCGTCTCTTTACACTGGTTTGCGTTACTTCGCATTCCATTGCGTTGATTTTCATTGTTCTGTTTGCGTTGCTTTGCCCTGGTTTGCATTGACTTGCACTGGTTTGCATTGCTTTGCAGTGCTTTGCGTTGCGTTACATTGCGTTGCATTTCTGTGCATGTTGCTGTACATTGCGTTGCATTGCTTTTCGTTGCTTTGCATTGCTTTGAAGTCACTTGCACTCGCATTGCGTTACATTACTTTGCATTGCTTCGTGTTGCGTTCCGTTGCTTTGCTTTGTTGTTCATTGCTTTGTACTGTTGTGATTGCTTTGCTTTGCTTTGCTTTGCTTTGCTTTACTTTACATTGCTTTGCTGTGCATTGCTGTGCGCCAAAAGATTCACCACATGGATTGCACCACCTAGATTGCACCACAGTTATTGCTCCACCTGGGTTGCACAACATAGATGGTAGGAATTCATTGTTTGGGGCCTGCATTGGCTAACATATTCTTAACCAGCCCATTGCACCAGTCACAAAGTCCACACGCACGCGCAAATATCGAAATTACACCAAACACAATCGTTGCATAAGCAACCTCAAGATTCAATGGGATTGTCATCGAAACGCTTACAACCTGTCTGTCCGCTCGCACCTGCTGAAATCAGATGAGAACCATCTGATGTTAGCAATCTCGTCCAGACCCGCATCCTTAACTGTCGTCGTGGTGCATCCGCGTTGATCTAGCACGCGCCCAGGGAGCCAAGCCGTCTCAAATAATACGATGCGGGCCACATGCGTGCACCGCCACCCGCGCATGTCGAAGTCCGTGCAATGCCAACGGTTGCCGACGCATTTCAAGGTAGATCTTTTTACACACAAGCATATTTGCTTTTCACCGAACCGACTGCTAGGTTTCTTGCATTTCCGCGCGCGGGCACTTCCTCACCGCCACCTCATCAGCGCCACCGCATCCTCGCTGTCATCGTCATCGTCAATCGTCGCCATTGCCGCCATCACCAGTCGCTCAGCTTCATCACCGACACATGGACATCATCATCGTCATCGTCGTCATCATCATCGGTGCCGTCAATGGCCTTACCGTCGTCATCGTCACCATCGCCACCACCATCGCTCCTTTCATCATCGTTGCCACCTTTGTCGACGTCATTGTGATGTCGCGCCCGCCCGAGTCGCCGACCCGCACTGAAGTGCCTGCGCGCCAGCTCGGCCTTTGAGACGCGCTGGAAAGTTCACATCGGAAGGGCCATCGCGGCCGCACCGGGTGTGCCAAATCAGATGGCCGTTCTGCGCGCGAGCTTGCGCGCGCCAGCGCAGCCGCAGGGATGCGCCAACCAGTGCCAAGTAGTCACCGCAGTCGTGGCCCCACGGGTTGTGCAAATCAAGTTGCGGGGGGCAGGGAGTGTGACTTCGCGGGCGGCGGGGTTCACGAGTTCAAGCCCTGCATGGTGGATGTCGTCCCATGGGCTACGCTACGTAGCGAGCGTGCAATAATCCACTGTCGGTGGTCCACCTGCAAACAGATGGGCGTACGGTACAAAACAACAAGGCCTCAGTCAACAATTGAACGCATGTTCGGCTCGATACTCCCTGGGGTGCGAGGGGCTTGTCCGGAGCAAAACAAACTCCCAAAGGAACAGTTCGACACATACACACATTCGCGCACAACCGCACAACACACAACACACAACACACAACACAACACACAATATACAAACCACAACACAACACACAGCACGCAACACACACAAAACAAAAATCACAACACACAACACACAACACACAACACAACACACAACACACAACAAATAATGCACAACATGCAACACACAACACAAAGCACACAATACATAACACGCCACACACAACACACAGCACGCAGCACGCAGCACGCAGCACACAGCACACAGCACACAGCACACAACACCCAACACGCAACACACAACACACAAGACACACCAGCCAACACACATCACACATCACACAACACACAACACACAACACACAACACACAACGCACAACACAACACACAACACACAGCAAACAACAAAATAAACAACTCACGCTATACAAAACACCACACACAACACATCACACAGCACACAACACACTGCACATCACACAACACACCACACAACACACAGCACACACCACACATCACACAACACCACACAACACACAACACACAACACACAACACACACACACCGCACAACACACAACACACCACACAACACACAACGCATAGCACACAACACACACCGCACAACACACAACACACCACACAACACACAACGAATAACACACAACACATAACACACACAACACACCCACCACACAACACACATCACGCAGCACGCACCACACAGCACACAACACACATCACTCAACTCACAGCAACAACACACCACGCACAGCACACCACACAACACACAGCACACAGCACACAACACACCACAACACGCAACACACAACACACAGCACACACAACGCACAACACACAACACACACAACAAACACCACACGACACACACAACGCACAACACATACACAACACACAACACACAACACACAGCACACAGCACACAGCACACAGCACACAACACGCAACACGCAACACGCAACACACAACACACAACACACAACACACACCACACACAGCACAGCACAGCACAACACAACGCACAACACACAACACATAACATACAGCGCACACAAAACACACACACACACACTTTCGGCGTAGCGGTCCTACGCGCTTCGACAGGCCGTATGTCGCACACACACGCGCATATAAGACACATCACACACACACACGCACACACTCACACACATTCATCCACACACACACAACACACACACAACACACAACACAACACAACACTCACACACACCACGCACAAAACACACAACACCACACAACGCAACGCAACACACCACACACAACGCATTTGTTCTCGCACGCGTGCGCGCACGCGCACGATCACGCGCACACGCAATCGCACACTCACACGCACGAATACACGCATCCTGTGTGGTGGCGGATATCTACGACCAGCTGTTGGCGGACCCCGTAACGCGCATGTGTGCCAGCGCTATTCGCAGCTGATCGTGTGATCTTCGACCGCGGGTGCTGGCGATCGATTCGGCCTGATCTTGCGATCGTCGTTCCCTGCCAGTCCGATCTCCACGTCCAGCTTGCTCGCCCTAACCCTGCCGGCGCCGACCCCGTCAGCAGCAGGATCGTACCAGCAGCGCGTGCAGCTTCTCAGAAGCCGTCGGGCTGAGGGGGTACAGTTGCTCCCCCGCATGTTGTGTCCCAGGGAACCATGATTCCTTCTTTTCGGCCAAGCCTCAGCTACTTTAGCTTGACAGTTGCTGTGACACGTGATGGTCTTGCGTCCTCACTTTGCATCCTGATGCTTGGCCCGACTGTACGTGCACGGGCTGTCAAGCGGTTCCTAGCGACGTATGGTGTCTTGTGACTTCCAGCATTGTCGGCACCGTGACGTCGCTCTGCGGCACGGAGGTCGGTTCGCGCGACCGGGCCTACACGTGGGCGATTGCCGACATGTCGTCTGATGCCCGCTACGTGTGGGAATGCTGTGGTCGGCATTTCGAGACGACGCGCCGATTTTGGCCAGATTTGGGGCCCTTGAGGAGCTTCAAAACCTTGTGTTCCCCGCTCTCGCCGCTGCCAGCGCCGCCTTTCGAACGTTTGTCCCTGTGCGCGCACTAAGGCGCTGACAACAAGTGGAGAAAAGAGTGGCCGCGCGCTGAGTCGTGGTGGTTGATGCGCCGCGAGGACGCGCAGACGTTCGTCGAGAACCAGGACTTCGCCAAGCATCACTTCGTCAGGGGCTGCGCCGAGGAGCAGGCGTGGTACTTCCCGCTGAAGCTGCGCGAGGCTCGCTGGGGGGAAGAGCAGGTTCTTGGAGAGCACAAGAACAGCATGGACACCCTTTGGAGGTTCTCAATGACTTCTTCCGTCGACGCGGGGCTTCCTCTCCACACGAATGCGCGCGCAGGGGAAGGGGTGTGAGGAGGGGAGTCCAGTGCCGACCCAAGAAATTAGCGTGGACCTCCGAATGTTCATGCTTATGCAGATGTTGGTTCTTCCAGGTTCGGGTTCGCAACGAATGCCCGATGTTCACCAATTGGATGGACGGACCGAAGGCGTGCAAGAATTGGAGATGGAACGTCGACCTCTGCACAGGCTGTCGGGGAACGAAGGAGGAGAAGAGTGAGGACCAGGTGGAGGAGGGCACACCTGGGAACCGCCAATAGCATAGACATATGCTTCATGCAAAGCATTGCGTGCAGTCCCATCCCCAAACCACTGACACTTCTGAGCCCGCATTTTCTTTTTCTCCTCAAGGTTGCGACGCCTTGCGAAGCAGCGAGCATCGCCCCGCGGGCTTCATGCACCCAGTCGTCTACACGGATGTGAACTCCACTGCCTTGAGAGGCCTTGTCGAATCTCAGTTTTGGTTCGCTCGCAAGTTCACCGAGGGAGCTATCACGGAGGATGCTGCGAGGCTTCTACGTTGAGCATCACGACGCTTGCCACGATCATCGTTATCACCGCAATCTTCCCATCCTCTTCCTTTCTCTCTCTCTCTCTATTCTCTCTCTCTCTCTCCATCTCTCTCTCTCTCTTTCCCCCTGGCTCGAATGCTCGCTCCGTGTGGGTACGCGCGCGGCCATAGCCGGTATCCTCTGAGAGAGAACGGCCTTCCTCAGTGTATTTTTGTTGTTTGCACATTCGTGTATACCGAGAGCCTTTTTTAGTACGTCTCAGGCGATAACATCATGTCGAGAACGATACGACCCTTGCTCCGTGTACCTTGGCTGCTTTTGCGACGAGTGTGAATGGCGCCCGCGCGGATTTCCCAGATCGGCGCTGGACCCCAGTGGCGGCGCCTCTGGCGCCGCCCCTGACACGCTCCGCGCGCCAGGAAGGGGGGCCCAGCGCCGACCCAATCCATCCACGAGCTTCGGAAGTTTAGTTGACGCCGTTTTCTGTTACTCTCCACTCGAAAAGCTGGTCAGGATACCCTGGGGGGGGGGGGGGACCCGCTTCGGGCGGATCTTGGTCGGGATCAGGAGCGGCGGAGGCTGCCTTTGAGAAGGCGGGGGTCTTCTCAGAAGCACCCCTGCGGTCTTCTCCAAGCTGGTCTCGCGAGGGCGCGAAGATGATTGACCTGGCCTTTGGGAGTTCTTTGGGAGGCCTTCTTGGACAGCGTCCGAGCACTCGTCGGAGGCGCCCTGCATCCCTTGTAGGCCATCCCCTCGCCCCACCCCGGTTTGCGCGCTGCCACTGGCAGGTGCGTGTAGGGCGGGGGGCGGGGAGGTTAACGACCCGGGGCAGCATGGGCAGGAAGTGCATCTGGGCTCAAGCCGAGGTTCGAGGTCGTGGCGCTCCCTGCGCGACTCTTCCGCGGTGGATTACAGGACTGGCAGGCGGCAATGTTCGTTTTGCGCTCGCTCGCTGTTCTCCTGCTACTGCCGTTCTGGGTGCAGGCGATGGCGCCGTGGACCTCCACCGACATGAAGCACAAGGAGGACGCTGACAGAAAGTTGCAGGCCCAGAAGTTGAGCGACTTGAATGATGTCCAGGAGAGGTCCCGCAGCATCGACTCCTTGCTGTTCGCCAACAAGTCGATCTTGGCAATCGCCAAAGAGCAGCTTGCAAGGCAGAAGAAAGGAAATATGCCCATGGCGAAGCAGATCAAGGTCGCCAGGGACGCCCTGCAGCAGGCCCAGAAGGACGAGACGAAGAAGCAGATGAGCTTGGAGGATCACACTGAGAAGATTAACAAGGCCGACGGCTTGGTCAACAAGACAAAGATTGCTCTTGCAGAGGCCACGAAACACCTCGAGGAGTCGCGCAAGGCCGACAACATCGCCACGGCGAACGCGAGGAATGCGGAGGATTACCTGGAGAAGACCGTCATTGAACATCCGCAGGATGCTCAAGCCGCAAGCCAGGCCCTGGCGATCAGGCAGACGGAGCTCGCCAGTGCCCACAAAGCCCTCGAGGCGGCGACCCATCAGCTTGATGCGGAGCAGAAGGCCCTGGCGTCGGCCAAGACCGCTGCGGAGAAGGCTAGCGAGGAATATTCCAAAGCCGTGGATGACTACCAGGGCGCGTTTGGCAAGGTGAAGGGTTTGGAAAAGGCTCTCTCCGATCTCACGAAGAGTGACGAGACCCCAGAGAAGAAGATTGAGTTGGTCGAGGCTTCTATCGAGAAGCAGGAGGCCGTCGTGAGTTCTCTCGCCAAGTTGAGCAAGGAGCTGCACGACGAGGTCGCCGCGAAGACGAAGGCTCACGAAGAGAGCAGCGCCACCGTGGATAAGGACATCGAGTGCATCCAGACCCTCAAGCAATACGAGATCAACCTCAACTTGTCCACCCACCGGTTCGAGCTTACCGCAACTGCGTACAAGGCCGCCGGCAAGGAAAACAAAATGCAGATGTTTGGGGCGGCGTGGACGCTCAAGGACAGGATGGATGCTGCCACCTACGCCCTGAGGCAGGCGCAGAAGACGTGCGCCCCGAAGGGCGTCGAGATCCCGACCCCGCTTCCCCCGCCGAAGTGCGACTCCGACACCGGCGGGTCATGCTGGCTCCTCCAGTGCCACGCAACGCGCAAGGCCTCACGAGCGGCGAACGTATCCGTATCCGCGTCCTCGCGGTCTGCACTCCAGGGCGCGATCCCGCGGATTCACGGTTGCACGGATACTCTCGGCTTGGGGCATCCGCGACGACACGCCCCAGATTCTCCGCGGGGTCGCGGCCCAGGGGCCGGGCCGCGAGGCCGCGGATACGAATTTGGTTTCCGCCCACGAAGGCCACCTGCAACAGCGACTCCAAGTGCACCTGCGCCGCCGGGACCTGCGCCATCGACGGCGCCTGCGTGCGGCGCTCGTCGCCGGTGCTCCTGGCGAGCCCGCCCACGGAGTTGCCCGCCGAGCCGGCGGCCTGGAGCGCCGTCTTCCTCGCGGCCTTTGCACTGGTGGTGACCGCCGCCCTGGCGGTGCGCCGGCGCCGTGCGTCCGAGATCCAGATGCCCGAGAGCACCCTCGGCTGAGCAGCCCGCGTTGGGTTCCTGGGGTTTTGCGTTTGCTTCCTGCCCTCCCCCGCCTCCTGACCAGCAAGCTCGGCATCCTATCTGCGAGGTCCCGCACCCCCGCTGCGCTCCCGCAGGGGCCCACCGTATTGAGCCCGCGGAGTGGGAGTCACGGCGGACCCTCCAGGGGGAAACGATCACGCAGTTCTTGCGATCAGTGAGTGTTCGGGGTTTGGCTCTAGAAGCTCGAGAGCGTCCTCGGCTGAGCAGCCCGCGCTTGTTTCATGGATCAGGGGCAACGATAGGATGTGCTCAGGGTGGGTCGCATCGACCTCCAATCGCCCATTCTTCGCCCATCGGAACCCGATAGCTCGCTATCGGGGGCCCGTCGCCGATCTGTCGGCGGCGTGTCGCCGAATCCAGGCCGCTGTTCCCCCCTCCCCTGAGCCCGCCCCCCCCCCAACGGTCCGCCTTGATGGAGTTTTGCATCTGCTTCCTGCCGGACCCACCTCCCATAACCATCAGGCTCTCTGCATCCGGCCTGTGGGAGGTCCAACATGGCCAAGGCCGCGCCACCTCCCCCACCGCGCTCCCGCGCAGGGGCCCCCTCCGAACTCAGCCCGCGGGGCGGGAATCACTGCGGTCCCCAGGGGAACGAGCACGCAGACTTTGCGGTGTGGATTAGCGACGGGTTCCCCCGCCTCCGTGCGAAGTCGACGCGCTCCGTCGCCAAATCAGGCGGCACTGGCTTCCTGTTTTTTAGTGGGGGACTTGCCCCGATCCGTGGATCTTGCGACCATGCCGGGTTCCTTCTTGGTTCGATCTGTCCGATTCGATGCCGATTTTGGCCGACCCGACCCGATCCGCTTCGATTCCGATATGCCGACGATCCGATTCGGCCCGATTCTTGCACGTCGTTGTTGCGCATCCTTGCGCAGCCGATCTGATTCGATTCCGACCTTGTGCCCCTGCGGCCCGATTCGATGTGCATTCCGATCCGATTCGATTTCCCGATTCGATGTTGACTGACACTGCACGCGCTGGACCTGCAGATCCGAAATCCATGTTAGCGTGCGCCCGCGATTGGTGATTGTTTTTGGGTAGGACTCCGACTAGAGTTGGTGCCAGTCGTTGCAGTTCCTCCTGATGCCTTCTTGGCGCTTTCCCTGGGGGTGTCGGGCGGTCTTGGGAGGGCCCCTGAGGGCTTTTGCAGCTCTCTGGGGCACGAAGTGCGTGAGGGGTGCGCCGAACTGGGGATCCTTTTCAGCCATCTTGAGGGCTCGCTGAGGGTCCTCTGGAGCCCATAGAGCGCGACGTGCTTGGGCGGTGTGCCGAACTGAAATGAGTTTGGGCTCCGTTGAGCCGTCTTGACGAGCCAGCTGGGGGCCGTTGCGCGTTCAGGGGGCACGAAGAGCGTGATGGGTGTGCCGAACTGAGACTCTCATTCGAGCCATCTTCGGGTGCCATCTGAGGGAATCTGGAGGTCCAGGAGGCACGAAGTTCGTGAGGGGTGTGCCGAATTGAGCTCCCAGGAGCCGTCTTGGGAGGCCAGCTGAGCGCCTTTTGAGGCGCATGGGGCACGAAGCGCGTTAGGGGTGTGCCGAGCTGAGGCTGCATTGGCCTTGGGAGCTTGCGTAGCGCACTTGCATGTATAGTTGTTGTCTTGGCTCTCACATGCGCCACTGCATCGAAGCCGCAGTTTTTCCAATGTGGGGGACTGTCCGGACTGTGTGTCCCATGCGTACGGTAGGTTCATGCGGTGTTGGCGCGCCGGCGACGCCGGCGACGGCGTGGAAGGTTGAATCTTGCGACGTGGAAGCACTGAGGGACGCGGTAACGTCACTGGACCCGACAGAATTCAACCTTGAACGATCGGGGCCGCGATCGATACAAGTTTGAACGATCGACGCGGTGTCAAAAACCTTTGCGCACGCCGACGCCGCACGAACCTACCGTATGCCCTCTTAGTGGGCTGCCCTTTGGGGCTGGAATGCGATCCTGTGTGTCTGTCTGTCTCTGTCTCTGTCTCTGTCTCCGTCTCCGTCTCTGTCTCTGTCTCTGTCTCTGTCTGTCTGTCTGTGGCCCTGGGTGCGGCGACCTGGCGCCATGTTTTGTTCGTCACAGGAGGGTGTCGACCATCAGCTGGCGGAGTGCGCGGAGCCGCCCGTAGCATGCACTTTGCTCATAGATGTCCGTCTTCTTTTCTAAGTGCTGCGGACTCATCAAAGGCCGTCCTGCTCCCGCTCCGCTCCCAAAGGGGCCCATTAAGCTCAATGCCCGTGTTCAGAGGGGCTGTGGACGAGAGCGTGAATCCGGAAGGGGAGATACCAGTTCGTGCGAAGCGACCACAGCTCAGCTTGTGCAGCCCCCGAGTACTGCCAACTTCGTCTCCTGTCGGAGGCCTCTGGGAACCACCTTGGAGCTTTCTTGGAATCTTTATCTTATACCTCGAGGCCCTCCTGGGGCTCTTGGGGCCCT